AATCAGCTTCACCCATTAGAGACTCAGTTGGACCAAAGTTCTGCTGCTCCTGTTCAAGTGCCCAGGGTTGCCCAGAAGGAGTGATGGCTACGTGGTGGTCACAACTCCTTTGAGTCCAGGATCCCAACCCTGGCCTGCCACCTGCACCAGCTACTGCCCCAGCTGGGCCTGTCCACAAGTATAAAGAGCAGAGGCCTGGGGAGGTTGGTCTGCTCAGCCTGTCAAAGCCTTTTAGAGAGGAATATCCGGGCTCTTTGATGTTGCCCTTGGAGGCCTGGGAGACCTTGCTTCAGTTAATTTTATCTCAAGGCCTATTTGACACTTAGCCAGGAAGTGATTTCCTGTGCATACACGTTCTGCTGGGTCCTGTGTGGTCCTCTGATTCGCCCAGAGCAGGGGGAGTGTGGGCCAGCAGATGCCTCCTGGGAGTCTTCCAAGCCCCTACCACACGCATAGCTACTTGTCACCACCAGGCTGTGCAGAATGGATGCTTTTAGGTCAGCTGACAGTAGACCTGTCTCTTGGGGGTAAAAACCCACAGACTTCACGATTCCCTTCCCTTCTTCTGCAGCCAGACTCTCAAAGGCTTCACAAAAACTGTCCTGAAAGCTGTGGCCTGCCTTAGGGAGGGAAGGGTGAGATCTCTCAATGGGGCTGCTCATTTTCTCAAAACGGTCATCATAAAATGATTCCAAATGGAGTCGGTATTTGATCAAGTCCCTCAACAAAAATAACAGCCACCATATGGGAATTTGCAGCTGTCCAGTAGTCAATATCAGGCCTAAATTTTGATTAATTGGTGCCTGACGGCTTTAATAATGTAAACCAAGTGTGCTTTAATTTTCCTTTCCATTTTATTTTCCTCCCAATTTTATCGATTTGAAGGAATTGCGGCAGCCCCTTATGTTTCATGAGAGAGCCACAGAAGTATGAGGTGAAGTTTGGAGGGCAGAGCAAATGAGTGAGCTCGCATGGCCCTACCAGTCGTTTCCAGTGGGTGCCCCGCCGCACTCCGCCTGGCTGTGACTCATGCTCAGCAGGGGCCCGAGATGACGGTGTATCTCCGGAACGTGGCTGCCCTGAGTCCTAAGAAGCATGCAGATCATTCTCAGAGCTGGCCACCTCGGGTTCACGCTTTGGCTGGCCGTGGCCCCCCGTGGCCATGGATCTGAGATGGTCCCTCACCTGCCCTCGTGACTGAGGCTCGGTGCCCAGCCCAGGCTGAGGATGCTGCAGTGCTGGCCCAGCCTCCACTCTCCAGGCCTGGCCACCTGGACCTCTTGTGTCCCAAAGTCACGGAGTCCTTCCGTCCTGCCTTATAAATCCCAACTTGATGCCTCTGGAGTTCTTTATGGTGGTTTCTCTGAGGGCCTGTGGGGATTAGGTCTTAGGCCCCAGCCCTGCGCCCTGTCACAAGGCTCCCTTCCGCACTGTGGACTCACTGCGGCAGAGGTGGTTTTGCTCGGTAGAGCATGTTACTAAGGGCAGAAATTACAGCTGGCCATAACTGACTGCCTTTTTCCTCCAGTTGTAACATGAGTTTCAAAGGGAGGCTGAAGACTTCACGCACAGTGGTAAAAATTTCACCATGTATTAAAACTTACCAAAAAATAAAATGCTCATCTAATATAATGTTGAAGAGATTGCTTATAATTGTCAATTAATCCATCTCCTTCCAAATCTGAGAATATGTAATCATGTTGCCCATGTTCAAATGGAAACTCTTTTTCTCCCCTTCTTTGAAGAGTGCTTGAGTTACTTTATTTCTGGTAGGAATCTCAAGGGTTCTGTTTCCATATGGTGGGTGAGGCAGACTCTTCTCCTGTTCACTCAGAATGGGACTGTTTCAGCATTTAGCCCTACAAGAGAGGGTCTTCAATGCGTGGCTTCTTTGGCATGCCTACCCCAACAGCCACCTGCTGGCTCACACCTCCACCAAGGCACTGCCTCTGCCACTGAGGACAAAGGGCCATGCGGCATCTTACCTCTGCTCAATTGAAGGATCATTGGAAAGCAGGGGAGGAGGCACTGTGTCAGCGTGGTTAGGGATCTGGTGTTGGCATGTGAGTTCCTGGATATTGTGCTTCATCCTGTTGCCTCTCACCTGGACCATTCCCAAAGTCCCTCCTAACTGGCTTCCGGCTTCCAGCTCGTCCCTGCTTCTGCAGCCTTTAAAAAATCTCTACCCTGCCTGTTCCTACCCCAGGCCTTCATGGTTGCTGCTATCACCTCTTTTTACAATATAAGTCCCTCAAATAATCTCATGGCTGGTTCTTTCTCATCATTCTACCCTTGGCTTGCGTGTCAACTCCTCAGGGAGACTGTCCTGAACAACCTCATACCATTGTTCTTCTCTCCCCTGTTTTACTTTCTCCATGACACCTATCAGCATCTCAAATTATTGTATTTGTTTACTTTTTAATTGTGTTTCTCAAGGTGGAAGCTCTGACTTGACAGCCGCCACCCCCTGCTATTTCTCTAGAATCTAAACAGAGTCCAACACATAGTAGGTGCTCAATACACACTGTCTTATTGACCACAGAATCATGCTAATGTTTGAAGGATCCTTTACAGTTGCCAAAAGAGCTTTTAATGTGTACACATCTCATGTGTGATTGTGATTGCTTTTCTGCCCACCTTTGACTAGACTGAGGGCCTTGGGTGTGAGGATTTGGTGGCACTTTCTTATGACACTGGAGGTCTCAAAGTCAGGATGTACGATATTTATTGCATATCCTTGCAGTCATGGTCCATGCATGTTTTTATACTGTGTGTTTTTTTACTTTATATTACGGGAACTTTCCTGATTGTCCCTATGTATAGTGGCTGAATCACTGCAGGGTGGTTTAGTGGCTGATAGTGTCCTTACCTTGTAGAGTGAGGAACTGGGGAAAGAAGGCGGCTGCGGGCTTTTTTAGCCAAGTTGACTTGACATTGCTCTACTTTGCTCTCCTTCATCCAGTGGGAGGTTCAGAGAAGGGACTGGAAACAGGCCCTGTTAAGCTCCTCTTATCTCCATCCCCTCTCCCACCCCAGAGCCCTCCCTATCACACAAACACCCTCACAACACAAAATCAGTGACTCTGTTGTCAAATACACAGCTCACTATGACCCCATATAGTATTCCTAAGGACTAGCTAGTATTTGCTTGGATCAGGTTTGCATGATATATACTCACGCTATTCCTCACTTCTTGTGACCCAAGCTCTCCCACTTTAGTGACCACCCTAAGTATTTTTTCTTGTGAGGAAATAATTCCAGCCACATCCATAGTTGACATCCTCATGCCAGTGCCTTGAAAATCTATGCTCTCATGCTTTCCTAAGTGCTTGGTTTGGGTCCTCCTGGGCAAAATGGTATGTCCTGATCCTGTATTTCACCAGAACATACTTTGGGCCAACCTCCTGTTTATTTTTATATCTACAAAAAGTCCACATCATAATTTTTTGCCAATTAAAACTGTTTGTTTCCTGACTTATTTTGGGACTGACTGTTGTAGTTAGTTCGTTGGATCAGGCCTAAACGACTTCCCAAAGCAGCTATATTATATTCAACATTTTAGACTTATGGGACTTAATGGCCAGAAACTGATGCAATTATGAACAGTTTCTAAGCAATAAGGGCATTTTTACTGCCCTGCAGAGAACTGAGAGAACTGGCTGGCCTAAAATGAAGGAGGAGGCAGCTATGGATAATTTTCTTTTAGAAAATAATCATGTCTTATGGGGTGAAAAAGAAAAACATTCAAATCCTCCGCATGTGATTTCTGTAACCTCTAGATTTAGCAGGTGCCCACAGGTACAGAGAGGTGTTTGGGCGAGAGAGGTGAATGGAGGTGTCAGGCTAGGTTAAGGGAACATACAGACCCCAGGAGGAGGAAATAAAGGTCAAGAGAAAGAAGAAAGTCCTTCAGCACTGCTTTGTTCTCACCAAAGTGTGCCCTTTGATAATTCAAATGCTAGCTTACCATCATCCTCCTTTGCACGCTGCATCTCCAAATCTGGAAATATCAGTGGAAAAGAGCAGTGTTCCTTACTTTGACCCCAGCTTGAGAGGCTTCTGTCTTAAATACAGGCCAAGCTATTTCCTTGGGGACCTGGGCCCCTGAAAGCTGGGACTAGTTACCCCCATGGCAGAATGTCAGCCTCCTCACTACTCATGGAAATGTCAACTCCCGGCTTCCCCAGTTGGACACCGGCCCTGTCTCTGGCCAGGTGCTCCTACAGCCAGAGCTTTCATGGGAGGAGGCAAAGGGCAACATGGTGACTGGGGCAGGAAGCAATGGAGGGAAGGCAGAGTAGCAATGGGGTGGGCTGCAGGAGAGAGCCGGCCCAATCTGGGCCTCCATCCCAGCTCTACTACTGATCACTGCCTCACCCTGTCTCTAATGTGTGATCATGAAGACCTTCTTCATAGGGTCACCGTGAAGAGAACATGAGATAATGGCCCACAGTGGGCTACCCAGCAAACTGTTGATTCACTTCTCATCACCAGCAAAGGCAGACCTCCATCTAAGAGTGCCAGGAGAGATGTGCAAAGCCTCTGGTAGCCAAGCCTGAAAGAAGTTGCGAAAAATATGGTGTTATCCTGGCTTTGATAGCTCTGTCACCCTCCAGAGAACTTGCATTCATGAGGACCTGGGTCAAATCTAGGAGAGCAAGCCTTTGTGACTGGGCCTACCTCTTCTGTAAGACCCTGCCTCTTCCCTTGAGCTCCAACTGTCACCCCCTTACCCTTGGTGATCAGCAGATCCACTGACGGGAATCCTTAGGGACACCTCTAGATCTCTTTCAGATCATCCCCTCCTTACTAATCATGGACAGAATGGGCCTCACTTGCTTTTGCTGAGGTACATAAAGTTTCTAAATGGACTCCAAGGAAGGCACAGATGCTGTGAGGCAGCTGGAGGCCATGAATGAAAATTCCTCCATTCAGTCTCAGATGCACTCAGCATCCCATGAAAGATGTGATGAGCATATGGGCCTGGATGCAGAGCAGGATGTGTTAATATAGACTTGCTTTAATCTGAATATGAAAGGTGAGACCCTGGCAGCAGCTCAGGATGTTTCTGGAAGGACCCAGAATGCACACTGCAACACCAGGTAGAAAGTGAAGGCGGGCCTGCCAGATTGCATCATGCCGACGAGAGGTTCTCCTCCAGATTCCTTCCTGGCGTCAGGTGGCAAGGGGATGGCCTGTCTCCATGTGCAGTTGGGAGAAATGACTTTGAAGTAGCATGAAAACCCCAGCTGAAGAGAAGACAAAGTATACATTAAGAGAACAAAATGAAGGGGCTGGATGGATAGGTTTGTTTTTGAAACTTAGACTCTCTGAAGTAAAGTTGTCATAGTTACCTGCTTGTTTTTACTTGTATTTATGAGATCTGAAGGCCACAGAATTAAAATAATCCTCCCCTGTGTGAAGTGTGTGTCTGTAATAACAAGCACCAAGAAGCACCTGGGCCGCTCTCACTGTGTCAGCTTCATCTCCTGATATTTTTTTTTCTAGTCTGTCAGTGTTGCCTGGGCCTGTTGAGAGGAACTCATGATTAGAAAGCAAAAGTTAACTGGACTTCCTTTTGCCACACACATTCAAGATCACTACAGATACAGACATATATTATTGCACACTCATAAGCAAAGTACCACAGCCTGCCCATACCTTACTCAGTTACAGCCACACATCTCTCCACACCAAAAAACATTTGCAAACACAGAAGGCCTCACTGGGGCATTTTACGAGCTTTAGGAGGAGGAGGATGCTGTGAGTCATATTTGTCAGCATAAATTCCTGATGTGCCACGGTGATAGAAAATAGAAGTAAGTTCTGGTTTGCATGTTTTTTAAGGCCTTAGTTGAGCAGTATAGGCACCAGGCTTGGATTTGTCCCTCAATGGCCACTTGGCCTTGGGCAAGCCATTGTTTTCTCTGTTCTCACATCCTCTCCTGCAAACTGAAGAGGCTGCCAACTTTAGGGTTCTGCCATTCTCAGGGGGCATAGGATGGCTCCACTTGCTAGTTTGCATTTGGGGAAGCTGAAATCCGGAGAAGAGCCAAGCCAAACTCTGTACTGCAGGGTGTGGTGTATAAAACCACTACCTTATAATTCATGAGCCTAGTGGGGAATTTGAAGATGATTCTGTAGGACACTAACATCTCCTTTCAATGTTTGGGTGAATGCTGGATTGACACAGTGCCATGTTAAAGTGACCATAGCAGAGTTTGCAGAAAATTATGTGTTTATCCCAAGTCTGTTATCTGAGTTTATATATATGTGTGTGTATATATATCTATATATATGCATATATATAATCAACAGATGTAGAGGAATTGTCTTTCCAAGTTTATCTTTTTTTTTGTCTTTTTTTTTTTTTTTTTTTTTTCCTTTTTTTGTGGAGAACAGGGTCTCGCTATATTACCCAGGCAGGTTTCGAACTCCTGGGCTCAAGCTATCCTCCCACCTCTGCCTCCCTGAGAGCTGGGATTACAGGCGTGAGCCACTGCGCCCGGCCTTTCCAAGTTTATCTTAATTCTAAGCTCAAATTCCCAATTATTTTATGATTTTTCCTTTAAAGACCCCATGTTTTGAGCATTACCTGTCTACCAGGTGAACTTTATGTATTTAGTATAATTCATGTTTCCATTTTGATTGATTTTTGCCATTTAGCTACCAGGCAGATGTCTTAGCAGCATGAGATAATGGCTGGCGCTCCAGGCTTGGCTGATATATTTTCATCGTAAAGCAGAGAAATGTGAGGCAGGCATGACTTTGTTTGTAGGAAATGGATGCCTGCCATTTGATGTTTTGAAATATTGAAATCCACTCATGGACTCACAGGTCCAGGAACCTCTGCTATAGTACATTATTGCAAAATAAAATTGAGTTAGCCTGTGTTGGCTAACTGACTGCCAGTAATGAAAATGTTAACTTCGGGAAGAAGGTGTTGTGCCTACACTCTTCGCTGGCGTTCTCTTGCATTATTTTCTTAGTGTCACTGCAGTACTCTCTCTTGACGTCTGTAATCAAAGCCAGGATAAGTTCACCAATAGTCTCTTAGTCATGAATTCAGCATCACAGTAGACAGGGGTCATTTTTACTCCTACTTCCTTCAAAATGGAGAAGAGATTTCTTTGTGGGTTTCAGTTTGCACAGAACATTCTCTGCCTAAGTAGCTCAAAAGAGGAGTAGGTGGGATGACTTTTGAGTGGACCCATAATTTGGTTTTTGAGGAAAATAAAAGTACTGAGAAAATAGAAGGTTAAAGGCCACATAGTCCAGCAGATACGGTGGAATCTAATGCTTCTGAAAGAGGGCTGGTTCCCATCTTAATTTATAACCTTCAGTGGCCTAAGAGGACACTCAACTCTGAGAGACCGAAGCAGTCCACTCCCAAGGATCATTCATTTCAGAGCCCCTTGAAATCCTCATATCATGGGCATTACCAGCTATAGAAAATGGTTTGGTATCATGGTATATGATAATTTAGCAAGGTAAATTCAAACTCTTATTTTTTCAAAAAGTACTCAGACTTATTTTTACTAATATCTCATTCTAAAAATCAAATCAGACTCTGTAAGTCTGATTGCATTCCAAGTGACGCCTGCACAGCTTCCTTGTTTTTCCATTTCACTGTTGAAGGACAGCTTGGTTGCATCTACATTTTAGTGATTATGAATAAAAGTGTGAAGGATTTTGAATACAGGTTTTTGTGTGGACAGAAGTTTTCAGTTCACTCGGGTAAATATCCAAGAGTGCAATTGTTGGGCCAGGACTATGGTAGGACTATGTTTAATGTTTTGTTTTTGTTGTTTTTTTTGAGACATGATCTCACCCTGTCATCCAGGCTGGAGTGCAGCAGCTTGATCATGGCTCACTGAAGCCTTGACCTCCCAGGCTCAAGCGATACTCCTACTTCAGCCTCCCAAGTAGCTGGGACCACAGGTGTGCACCACCACACCCAGCTATTTATTTATTTATTTATTTATTTATTTATTTATTTATTTATTTGCAGAGACAAGGTCTCACTATGTTGCTGGGGCTGGTCCTGAACTCCTGGGCTCAAGTGATTCACCTGCCTTAGCCTCCCTAAGTGTTGGGATTACCGATATTAGCCACTGTGCCTGGCCTGTATGTTTAGTTTTATAAGGAACTGCCAAATTGTCTTCCAAAGCACTGTTCCATTTTGCATTCACATCCGCAATAAATGAGAATTGCTGTTATTCTGCATCCCTACCAACATTGTTATTGTCAGTTTTGTGAATTTTAACCATTCTAATAGGTATGCAATGGTATTGCACTGCAGTTTTAATATGCATTTCCCTAGTGACAATGTTGAGTTATCTTTTCTTATTTGCCACCCATATATCTTCTTGGCTGATGTGTCTGTTCAGATTTTCTACCCATTTTAAAAACTAGGCTGGTCGTTCTCTTATTACTGAATTTGAAGAGTACTTTTTGGCTGGTCATGGTGGCCTACATCTGTAATCCCAGCCAAGGTGAGAACTGAGAGGCCAAGGCAAGAAGATTGCTTGAGCCCAGGAGTATGAGGTTACAACAAGCTATGATCACACCACCGCACTCCAGCCTGGGCAACAGAGTGAGACCCTCTTTCTAAAAAAAAAAAATATATATTTTTAAAGAGTTACTTTTATGTTCTTGATATAAGTTCTTTATCAGATATGTAAGTTGCAAATATTTTCTTCAAGTCTGTGGCTTATCTTTTCATTCTCTTATGTTTTCAAAAAGTAAAGTTTTTAATATTGACAAAGTCCAATTTATAATTTTTTAAGGGATTATGTTTTTATGTTAAAAACTCATCACCAAACCCAAGGTCACAGAATTTCTTCTATATTGTCTTCTAGAAGTTACATAGTTTTTACATTTTATATTTAGATCTATCAGCCATTTAAAATTGCATTTTATGTAAGATGTAAAATATGTGTCTAGATTGATGTTTATGCATATGCGCATCCATTTGTTCTAGCATTGCTTGTTCAAAACACTATTCTTCCCTTCTTGAATTAACTTTGCACATTTGTCAAAATTTTAACAATATCTGTATAGTTCTATTTCTGGGCTCTCTTGTCTATTGCATTATCTGTGTGTCTGACCTTCTGCACATACCACACTGTCATGGTTGCTGGAATTGTGTAGTGCCTTTTAAAGTTGGGTAGCATGATGCCTAAACTTTATTCTGCTTTTTCAAAATTTTTTTAGCTATTCTGGCTCCTTTGCCTTTCCATGCAAATTTAGAGTCAGTTATTCTTCACTTGATCTTAGCCAAAAGGCCAAGAAGCAATAGACTCAGCTATTCTATATTACAAAGATTCCTGCTGAGATTTTGATAGGAATGTCATTAAACCTATATTTTGGAAGACATTTTTATTATAGTGAGCCTTCCAATCCTTGAATATAGTGTATCCATTTATTTATTTTCTTTCATCAGCATTTTAGTTTTTAATCATACAGATCCTGATACATTTTATCAGATTTATACCTTTGAAATTTGTCAGGACTTGCCTTAAGACCCAGCAGATGGTATATTTTGGAAATTTTCCATATGCACTTGAAAAGAATATATATTCTGCAGTTTTTAGATGATTTTTAAGTATATGTCAATTAGGTCAATTCTGTTACTCTTGTTGTATAGAACCTCTGTGTCCCCTCTGGTTTCTGTATGCACATTGCTGCAAGAGATTGAAAAGTGTGTCACCATGATTGTGGATCTATCTAATTCTCACTTTGATTCTGTCTTTTTTGTTTGTTTTATGTATTTTGAGGCTGTGATTAGGAGCATACAAATTTAGAGTTGCTGTATCTTCCTGGCCAATTATTTTCTTATAAATACGAAATGTCCCTCCTTACCTCTAGTTATGATTATAGCCTTAAAGTCTACTTTATCTGGTATTAGCTGTGCCAACTTTCTTGGGTTACTGTTAGCATGTCATATCTTTTTCATCCTTTAACCTTCAACTGTTTGGTGCCCTTTTTTTTTTTTTTCATTTTTTTTGAGATGGAGTTTCATTCTTGTTGCCCAAGCTGGAGTGCAATGGTGTGATCTCAGCTCACTGCAACCTCCACCTCCCGGGTTCAAGTGATTCTCCTGCCTCAGCCTCCCAAGTAGCTGGGATTACAGGCTTGTGCCACCATACCTAGCTAATTTTTTTGACTTTTAGTAGAAACGGGGTTTCACCACATTAGCAAGGCTGGTCTCGAACTCCTGACCTCAAGTGATCCACCTGCCTTGACCTCCCAAAGCGCTGGGATTACAGGCATGAGCCACCATGCCCGGCCTTGGTGCCCTTATATTTAAAATATATTTCTTATAAGTACTATATATAAATACATGTGTGTGTGTAGCTATAATTTACATATTGTAGATGTATATAATTCTATATATGAGATATATTTTATTTTGTTTATATACAGCTTGAAATCTTTTACTTGGAGCATTTAGTAAATCTACATTTAGTGTAAGTATTGACATTTTAGGGCATACATTTACCACATTCCTCTTGATTTTTGCTCTTGTTTTCTTCTCAGTTTTTTTTTTTTTTTTGAGACGGAGTCTCACTCTGTCGCCCAGGCTGGAGAGCAGTGGCCGGATCTCAACTCACTATAACCTGCACCTCCTGGGTTCAAGCAATTCTCCTGCCTCAACCTCCTGAGTAGCTGGGATTACAAGCACCCTCCACCAGCCTGGCTAACTTTTGTATTTTTAGTAGAGACAGGGTTTCACCATGTTGGCCAGGCTGATCTCTATCTCTTGACCTCAAGTTATCCACCCTCCTCAGCCTCCCAAATTGCTGAGATTACAGGCATGAGCCACCATGCCCAGCCCTTTTTTCCTAGTTTCTTGATGTAGAAGCTTAAATTATTGATTTGGGACATTTCTTCTTTCCTAAAATAAGTATTTAGTACTACAGATTTCCCTCTAAGCATTGCTTCAGCCCCCTTCCAGATGTTGACATGTTGTATCAAGGTCATTTTCATTCAGCTAAGATTATTTTCTAATTTTTCTTGGAATGTCCTCTCTAACCCCTGGATTATTTAGGAGAGTGCTGTTTAATGCCAAGTGATTGGAAATATTCCTGTTACCTTGGTTATTAATTGCTAGTTTAGTTCCATAAGGTCAGAGAATATATTATATATGGTTTCAATTTTTTTAATGTGTTAAGATACATTTTATGACACAGAATACTGTATACATTGGTAAATATTCCTGGATTCTTGCAATATATGTGAATACTGTTGTTGATGGGGTCAGTGATCTACAAATGTCAATAGGATCCATGTGGTTGATGGCTTCCTCAGTTCTTCTACATCCTTGCTGATTTTTGTCTACTCATCCTATTTCTTACCATGAGAGGAATTTTGAAATCTCCAACTACGATTGTGGATTTATCTGTTTTCCTTTTCAGTTGTATCAGTTTTTGCTTTCTGTATGTATAATTTCTACTGTTAGATGTATACACATTTATTGTTATGTCTTCTTGGTTACAAAACCCTTTAATCAAAATATATCCCTGCTAATTTTCTTTGCTCCGAAGTCTACTTTGCCTGACATTACTATAGCCACTCTAGCTTTCTTTTGATTTATGTCTGCATGATATATCTTTTTTCATCCTCTTACTTTAAACCACTATCTCATTATATTTGAATTAACATTCTTACAGACAATGTAGGGTTGGGCCATTTCTAAAAATCATTCAGGAGATTTCTTACTTGCTGCATTGAGATCATTTACATTTAATGTAATTCTTGGTATGTTACAATTTAGTTTGCCTTTTCATTTGATTTCTGATTAGGTCCAGTGTTTTTATTTCGTCACTCTTCCTTTTCCTGCTTTCTTTTAAGCTATTTGAACATTTTAAATATTAAATTTTAATTTATCTATTGTGGGTTTGTTTTTTTTTTTTTTAACCACATCTCTTTGTATAATTTTTTAAGTTGTTGCTTTTGGAGTTATAAAATACTTAACCTTTCAGAATCAACTTATGACAATATTTTACCACTTCAAATGGAACATAAAAGCCTTACTACCATATAGGTTCCTTTGCTCTCCCCCATCTTATGTTCCAGCTGTCTTATATGTTACATCTACATACATTGAAAACCCCATCAATACAATATTATATGTATTCTTTGTTTTCTACTATTAAACAGCTTTTAAAGAAAGATAACATCCTGTTGTATTTACCATTTTTGTTGCTCTTCCTTCATTCCTGATGTTCCAGGTTTCCTTCTGGTATTATTTGCTTTCTCTCTGAAGAGGGAGTAAATTTTTTATAGCCGCTCTGCTTCTATTAGTTTTCATTCATCTGAGAATATGTTTATTTCACCTTCATTTCTAAATAATATTTTGAAACCATGATATCATTTCTGAATGGTATCTTCTAGGTATGTAACTCTAGTTTGGTAGTTCATTTCATTTAGCATCTTAAAATCTTCTGGCCTCAGTAGCTTCAGATGAGAAATTCACAATAATTCAAGTTATTTTTACCCTATAGGTAATACATCATTTTTTTTCCTGCCCATATGCAACATCCATCAGCAAGTTTGATTCTGATGAGTTTGGATATGGATTTCTTTAGGTTTAACCTTGTTTGGGATATATTGTTTCTTGAATCTGTAGATTTATTTCTTTCAGCACATTTTGGAATAGTTTTAGTTATGATTTCTTCAAATACTTTTTCATTCATTTATTCTCTGTCCTCTCATTGTGGAACTCCAATGACACAAACCTTTTGTTATTGTCTCATAGGTCCCTGAGGTGCTATTCATTTGTGTTCTCAATCTTTTTTTTTTTTCAATCTCTGCTGCTGAGATTGGATAATTTCTATTGATCTATCTTCAGGTTCACTGACTCATTCCTTTTATTGTCTCCATTCTGCTATTGAGTCCATCCAGTGAGGACTTTAAATTTTTGGTTATTGTTTTTAGTTAGAAAATTCTCATTTGATTCTTCTTTGATATACTCTCCTTTTTTACTGATACATTCTATTGTAATACTTGTTTCAAGAGTGTTAGTGATTGTTTTTAGCATTTTTATAATAGCACTTTGAAGTCTTTGTCAGATAATTCCAACATGTGTCATTTTATTTATTGTCCTCTGTTGATTGTTTTTTTTCATGTCAGCTGAGATTTTATGGTTGCTTTTGCCAAGTAATTCTGAATTGTATCCTGGTCATTTAAAATATTGCATTGTAAGACCCTGTCTTGTCAAATACTACAGAGAATATTGATATTTTTGTTTTAGCAAGCAATCATTCTGATTAGGTTCAGGCTGCAGGTTGGAATTGTAATTTCAGTGTCATATTAGTTTCACAGGTTTTGCAGTGCTGTGTGCATCTATCTGGTGGGTCGCTCCCCAGGGGTCAGTCTGGGATGTGAGCAGGGATATATTTGTTACCTCAGTTCTTCAATTCTGTGGCATGCTATTGGGATCGGTTCCATGCATACACAGGTTGGGCGTGAGGCCAGGAGTTCATAAACAGTTTTATGGAGTAACTTTACTAAGCTCTTCTTGATTCATTCTCTCCCCAGTACTTTCTGGTTCCCTGGGTTTCCCATTTTCTGTCTGGCCTAAAACTGCCTAGTTCCATGATTATGCAACATCCAGGCCAAACACTAGGAGAACAGAGAAAGAATAGAGTTCTGGCTTCAGGCTCCTCTTGCTGGCTACTGTTGCTGCCACCTCTGTCCCCACTACCACTGCTGCCATCACAGAATGGCCTGGGACACAAGAGGAGGGAGAAAAAAGAGCAAAACAATCTTGAGGGGGTTTCATCTACTCTCTAGGGTTTGGGGGATTTCCCTTCTCAAGCTGAATTTCTCCTACTGCTTTTGGGGTTTGGGTTTGTTGCATCCAGGCTGAGAAAGAAGTGGTAAACTCACTGCCAGTTCAGTGGTGCTTTGAATTCAGTGTTGTCTCCTATTTACCTGTTGCTGTTTGCTTTTCAGTGTTCTCCAATAGCTGCGCTGTGGATTTGCATCCAAAGGGAGAGAAAGAGTGTCATGTGTTTTCTCTGTCTTACTCAGAACTGGAACCTCTGATTGATATAATTTAAAATTTTTATTTTTGAATTAACTCATCCTTATATACAGAACAACAGCTGATGTTATTAATAAGAATCACGTAAATGGCCAAACCACATAGTTTTCAATTGGCTTTGTTTATGTCTACGTTTATGTCAGCTACACATGATACTATTTTGGTATCTTCCTTTGATCACATAACTGTCACTGTAGATTTCTATTTGCACCTTCTAACCAGCCTTGTGGACGAAAGTCGTCTTCTGATTTATTTGCAACTTGTGGGTGATTTCCTGGGAGCACAGCCTCTGCACACCATCTCATGGCAGGGCTGCTCAGGGGCAGTGAGTCTGGATGTAGTCAGCTGACCTGTTTGATGCAGTTCTGAGAAAAATGAGGTGGGAATCCTCACTGAAGACCCTGATGTTGAGTGTACCTTCAGTGTAAGTTTATGCATACTTCAGACATAATTGAACTACAGCTGACATTTTTAAGCAATAGTCTTTTGAACACATCAAGTTGGATGCAGTTTCAGAACAAATTGACACGCAGCTCTTCCGAGTTGCAAATCTTTGCAGAGATCACACCTGATGGAGTTGAACTGCCAGCTGTTCTCTGGCATACTCAGGAAGTGGGAGAGGATCTCAGTGGAGGTGCAAATGCATTCGTATGTAATTCAGAGTTCATGTTAATGTTGAGTTACCCCTGTGACCTATCATGAGTGATTGGTTAAAAAATGTTGAGCCTCTTAACTAAGGAGACAATAATCCAGCCTTGGTTGCTGTGATCAAAGTCAGCTGAAGCCATCCTGGTTCCAACCTCATGGTGGGGAATCTGGCTCCATGTGGACTCCTGTAGCACTTGGTTACCTCATAAATAAAACATGATATATACTTACCTTGTAAGGTAGGCTGTTGAGAAGATTAAATGAGAAAACATATAGGAAACAGCTTTCTGAAATGTAAAGTGCCATGCAAGTGTTTATTACAAGAAATTTTAAACTAACAAAGATAACAATAGGAGGCGATGGTAAATTAAGAGAAGCAAGTCTAATAGTAGAATCAAAGCCTTCTCTTCTCTGCCTTTCAGGACATGGACTCATTTTATAGAGGGGCTGAATTGTAAGGTCTCTGGGTGCCAGAGCTGGATAAATCCCCACCTGAGCCTATTCTAGCCCTGAGAGTTTATGATTCTGCAAATAGGTGCTACAGAGTCAGGCACGCCCAAGTGTTTTTCTCACAGGACTGTGGCGATTAGCATGGGCACACTTCCTGGGGTTTAGTTATTAATGCCTCTCTCCCAGGTCCCCAGGCACCTTCTTGGCATCCTTCTGTCCATATGAAAGAGATCATGTTGGGCTCAGAGCCCCAAAAACAGATTTCTAGTTGCTAGCCAGGCCTCCTGAGTCCCAGCACAGAAAACGTAGTTTTGCTTTAATTGGAAAGTTCAGGTTCCCAGACACAAACCCTCCTGAGAGAGCTGCAGGAGGCATCCTGCCCTGAACTGGCCGTCTCCTGCCCCAGCGGACTGCCTTGTCCCTCCCCCAAGGACCACCAGTGTCCTGCCTCTTTCCCCTTGGTCAGCAGTACTCTGGGGGGGAGGTTAGGCATGGGGGTTACAGACAAGCCCAGGGGACACCCTCCCCAGTGCCTTAGGCAGCCACAGCACCATGCAGGCCTGATACTCAGGGTGCCCATCTAACAGGGCATGAATCAGGATGGGTCAGCTGACCACTGTCTTCTCCCTCCTGCCCTTGCAGATCACCTCCAATGAGAAGCACTTGGAGAGCCTCAAGAATGCGGGCAGCCTCCTGCAGGCTCTGGAGCAGCTGGCCCCCAGGAGTAGGTAAGTGGGGCCGGGAGGATCAGCAGAGTCTGCTCCGGATCAGCACACACTCTCAGCCATTCCTTTCTTCACTCCCCCCGCTCATCTCCCTCCACACCAGGGACCACCACCTTCCAGCCCATCACTGTCCACTGAGATCCTTCCCACTGTGGGAGGGGAAGCTCTACCACTCCACCCACCGGGAATCCCCAGTTATGGTGGGGAAGGTGGGGGCACAGGAATCCACAGGGGGAGAGAAAGTCTTAGTCATGCCAGGGGAAACAATATTCCCACCTTGACGCACCCACGGAGGTTGAGTGGATGACCAAGTGGGAGATATAAGGAACCTCATGAGAAAGGCAGCCCCTGGCCTGTGCACACGTGCCCCCATCAGCAGCCCAGGCAGAGGCATCCTCATCACCACCTTGTGGAGGACTCAAGGCCCAGGCAGGGCTGGGGCAAACGTGACAGCTTAGTCTGCTCTGCCGCACCAGGCTACCTTCCTCAGCCAGAAGTTCCGAGGGACCACATACAACTGCGTATTTGACACCCAGAAGCTGACAGCATGGGGTTAGGCCAGCCTCCCAGTCCTTGGCTGTACAGTCAGTGTGTCTAGAACATCCTAGCAGTGAGTTCCACAGACAGGGGATAGGCCTATCACCCAGGAGCACGTTACATGCTGTAGAAGCAGAAGGAGCCGGCATCCCAGCCAGCCCCACAGAGACGCTGATGCTCAGTGGAGCATGTCCCCACCGTGGGGAGAAGGACCCGCCTCCTGTGGGGTGCCTGACCTTCACTGGACCTGGAATGCTGTCTGCCATTTCCTGGTAGATTCTGTTTTTAGAACTACATGTTTCTATGAAGTCTGCTTCCTGGTGTGCTTTGGGTTTGTTACTAATCTGAAGAAAAATAAGTGGCTGAAGCATTGCTAAGAAGGTGAATTTGCAGAGAAGGTTCAATTCCAATCAGCCTTTTGCATTTAATCCTGGATAGGTGAGAGGGGAGGACACCATCCTTTTTAGCCTAACCCTACCCCTTTTGTCTTCAGCATAAACCATAGAAGTAAGTTCTTATTCATGGTTTTCTGTGAGGTGAGGGGCAGGAGAGACTGACTTTGCTGCAAGAAGCCCCTTCACACCTTGCTGAGCCCCTGCCATGTAAGGTGTGAACAGTGACTCCCTGGACTGGCCTATAAGCCCCTTGTAAGACCGTTTTGAGGAGCACATGCCATCGGATCCTGACCTTGTGCAAAATGCCATTATGAAGCCAGCTACACAGATTTATGCTGAGGGCACAGAGAAAGCCACAGAGGAGTGGAGTTTGACAGACAGCTCTGGAGAGCCCCTTCGCTCTAGGCACCTGCGCTATGGGACTTCTCATAGTAGGGACCTACAACTGCCTTTTAGCCAAAAATAGCACATCCTTATGCTGGACCCAAATTTGGACCAAATGTGTCAAAACAAGGTTCAGTGGTCCATGAGGCTGGTGGTCTGTCCTGTACCCACACCCAGTACTCCAGCATCTCAAACGTCTACACCAGACAAATCTTGTGTTGGGCAGGGAAGTTGCTCCTGCACAGTTCTCGTTTGGACTTTGCTCAGATGGCCTAACCAGAAAGGGTTTTCTTGTCAACCAAGAACGAATGGATGGCATTCTCAGTTCCGATGCTGCCCTGCCAGTCGTTTCTGTGCTTTCCAGCCTCACTGGGCCTGCTGTGTGCGGGTGGGCAGCATGGCCCCACCAGTCTAGCCTAGACTCAGCCAGGGGCGGGCCAAGTTCAAACGCATTCCTTCTGTCACACAGGGGCTTTGATGCGCAGAGCAGGAATGCATGGCACGGTCTCCTGGTCACAGCCCCATCCCACTGCCACCCACATCTTTCATGCAGCGCCCCCACCCATTTATTTGGTACCAGCTCTATTTCTGTGCAGTCAAGAGTGTGCCACGAGCTAATTTTACACTTCAAGGGTCACTGGTTTCAGTCTTTTCTTTGCTAACAGTTGTTAAACATAGGTTTAAATGTGTCTCAAACAATTGGCTCCAGTAACAAAGTTCCCATTTTAAGCTCTTAATTGCACATTCACACCTCTAAGAGTAAGAAAGCCCCTGGCTGATTGGCTGGAAAGGGCAATGGAGCAGGGAGGGTCAGTGTGTGGAGTGGGTCTGGGACACATGAGTCAGCTCCAGGCAGGAGCCGGGCAGGCCCACTGAGGGCCCCAGGCCTGGTAGAGTCTGGCTGCCTACAGCTCAGTGGCAGTGTTTCTGGCAGAGGTGGCTCAGATAGTGACTGGTGGCTGGGGCTGGGAGCTCAGAAATAGCTCTTTCCAAGAGGATGCTGCAGCTGGTCCATCAGATAGTCGGGTATAAAAGAGACTGGCCCCTTGCATTTTACCTTAAAGATGCCTATTAAGTGTACCTACTTTGGTTTTTCTTACAGTTCATTTGCTGACAGCATGGTGGCTCCCTTGGCCCTGGAAATCCTCCAAGCTGTTGGACACTAGGCAAGAAAGTGCTTCGCACAAGCCCACCCTGTGACCCCAGCCCTCGGATGCACAAGCGAGGTCAGCTCCCAGACATCTTTGCCACATCCCCTCACAGCTGTATTTGGACCTAATAAAGTCACCTGAACGCAGAACCTGGTGGCCCAAGTGCTCACTAACCCCAGGGCCTAGAAAACTGACTCAGAATGGACTTCCTCGGTTCCTGTGGAATGCATCTGGGAAGCCCAGGGTTGTTAGCTGTTCTCAGGAATGTCCTTTCCCTCTCTGTGTGGGCCAGGTGGGCTAAGGTTAGCACTGCCTGTGGTAGTAAAGCAGTGGATGCGAAGCACAGTCCTCAGCCTGCCAGCATCTGTGAGCATCTCTCCTCTCCTCAGGGAAGAGCGGAAGGGCGGACCAGGCAGGAATGCTCTCCCAGCCACAGCTCCAGAGCAAGCCTTTGGAAGCTAATCTCTGAGCCTCTTGTCTTCTCCCCTTTTACATGCCTGGCTTTTGTTCATTTCAGGAGCAAACTGATTCCAAGAATCCTGGGGAGGACTAGGTAAGACTCACTGACCAGCACAGATAGTGAAAAGTTTGCCTAAAGGAATGCAAAATGCTCAAGAACACTGGCTTCCTTGAAGGTTTTCCCATCTAGATGGGATGATGGCATCAGGGTCGAATCATTTCCCCCAACTTCTGCCACTTGATCCCGTATCTGCCTCATGTTCCCTCTCACGTATGCCTTAGAACCTCCTATGTAAGAGTCAGTCAAGCCCATGGCAATATTTGGTGGATACTGTGGAAGTATGTTGGGACTGCTGTACTGGGCAGGCTTACTCCTGAATCTGGACTGGGTAGGTAGGGGTGGGCCCTGGGCAGCTCCGACCAGATGGGTAAGTTGAGGTAATGCCTTGACCTTTCTGGGGCCTCATTTTCCCCATCTGCAAAATGAAAAGGCTACACTGAATCAGTGGCTGCCAAGCCTTTTCCCAGCTCCAGTGCTCTGGTGCTGCTGCTTAGGGGATTTGCCTTCTAACACTGCCCAGATGGATTCTGTCCCAGGCAGTGGCCATGTTGGCCCACAGTTGGCCCCATCTACTGCATCTCAGGAAGCTGGTCATGCTGTCATCAACAGCCCCTCTGACACAGTAATCTGGGTAGTTTGACAGTTTCCATTTGACATTACCTTTGATGCACTTGTGCACAGAACTGTTGTTTTCATTGTAAAGCATTTCATTGCAGCCCAGCCAGAAGCATCCTCATCAGCACCTCATTACTTAATGAGGTTCTCGGGTCAGTTCTGTGAACACAGGGCAGACATCATCCCTGTGTTATAGTTCAGATATGGTTTCACTGCTTTACAATGAAAACAGTTCTCTGCACAACTGCATCAAAGGGAATGTCAATTACCTTATGTAATCCCCACCACAACCTGCAAAGCAAGCCGCCTTAGTTTCATTTCATTGATGAGAAGACAGACTCAGAGGAGCCGTTTTCACTTGCCCAAGGCCCCACAGCTTGGCTGAACCCAGGACTCTGGCTCCATACCCTGTGTTCATCCCCTAATGGGGTACACAAAGCTTAGGCTGTGACTAATTGGGATATGAGAGTGTGCCCCCTAAGAGCATGACCCAGGAACAGGCAGCTTCATTTGACCTCGCATAGCCTACTTATTGCCCATGGTGGGGAGGCTTCACTATTTAAGTCCTCCTGGGCGGTGTGCTCATCTCCAGCTGTGTGTGCCCATGTGGCCCTGGCCTGGCTGGTTTTGCCTGCATTTCTGGGAGTGAGTGGGGAGTACTTGATGGAGAAGCCAGAGGCTTGGTTCTCAGCTCCAGTGGCTTTGCCTGCTGGATACAGGAACAGGCTCAGGTTTGTTTTCTTTGCCATCTCCCTTTAGTTCTTAGGTGGGGGAACGCCCGTGGGGTTCTGGGTCTGGAGTCCTCTCAAGGTATTTCAGAGCAATGGAAGATTCTTCTTCCTTCTTTCCCCTTTTCACTTGAGCAAGGAGGAGCCTTTGCTGTTTAACAGAGAAGAGGAAACTCTTACTATTCCAGAGCCATTTTGTTCAGTGGACCACTCCTGGCCCTGGGCCCCAGTGTTGCCTATCTGGGGAAAAGCTTATCTGGATCAGCAAGGACAAGGAGATGATGGTCCCAAGCAGAGCTCACTGCCCTGCCAAACGTGCCGGGTCACTAAAGTTAGTCCATGCCAAGCCTTGTACCCTGGTGAGGCTGTGTCCTGGAAGAAAGGTGCCTATGGAAAGCAGCAGCCTAGGTCCCTTTGACTTCAGAGGTAGGGGATATGAGCAGCCTGGTTGGGCAGAGGGCAGCTTGTAGTAGTAACCCTTCCCTGCCCTCCCCAGGCCTGTACCTTAGTATTTGGCATGCCTAAGTGGCTCCATTCTGAGAGCAGAGCTGGCCCCTCAGCTCTTAGGATTCTGGCAGTGGCAAGGGGCCCACCCCTCCTAGCCCTCTCCTTCCCTCCATCCCCAAGCGTCAGCTATTTGCCATTTAGCTACAATCCACTGGCTGTCTTCAGGGATGAATGGTGTCACTGAAGTCACAGAGGTGAGAGGCAAAGGAGGTGACAAGCAATAGGGCACAGAGGCGGCTCAGGTGAGTGGCTGCACACAGGACTATTCCTCCCCCTCCACTAACAGCAGGCCCAAAGTTCCAAGACCTTGCCTTAACTTAGGCCGAGTGTGCATCCCCATTAAGCTGTCCCTCTGGGAAGCACCGTTTGGGGTAACTGTGGTCACAGGTGCCTTGAAAGGTGCTGATAATCACTCGTGGCACCTGAGTCAGTGGAATGCAGCAACAGAATTTACTCTTATGGTTCTTTGCAGTTTATCTTTTCAAGTTTCTCCTGTTAGCTAATGAGGTTCTCAGGTCGGTTCTGTGAACACAGGGCAGCCATCATCCCTGTGTTATAGTTGAGAAAATGGGGGCTCTGGTAGCTAAGGCTCTTGTACAAGGTGATCTCCCTCACCAGGTCTCTCCTGTCTCCACCTGAAGCAAGATGCCCTTTTTCTTTCCCCTGGCAACAGAAAAATGCAATGTGGAATATAATCTTATACATACAGGGGCTACGGTAGCAAGTGGTATGGCTACAAGAAAGCTACAAGAGGCTTGGCCTCCTGGGAGAGCTGTCTGGAGTGGGGTTGGGGGAGACTAGGCAAAGCTAGGCAGTCTTGGCCTCAGGCTTCAGTGCGGTTGAGAAGTGGTGTGTGGGAGCAAGAAGCTGGGCCTAGAATGAGGAGCTTTAAACTGGCCCTTAAAAGTCCAGCCTCTGGCCTCTCCCATCAGAGGCTTGATGTTGAGGCGGTGGACAAATGCATTGTTTTGATGATTACATTTGAATGGTAACATCCAATCCAGAAGCCTGGCACCAATGAAGCCTGGTGAAAACACCCAAAAGATAGACAGCAGAGTCTCCCTCTCACACTATGTTAGTCCTCTCCCTATCTCCTCCTACAAGGTGCCCACTGTCACCAGGGTCTTTGTGTGCATCCAGGGATGGTCTATGCATGTCTTCACAGATTCTGCACCCACCTTTTTACCCATACGTGAGCAGCTGTCAACTCTGCTCCTTGCTTTTTCTCCTAATAATGTATTTTGAAGACCATTTTATACCAAAACACAGCTTTATGTGCCGTTTTTCCCCCTTTTGACTGCAGTGGTCCACCAAATAGATGCATCGAAATTTGCTTAACTAGTTAGGTTCCCTTTTGATAGCTATTTGGGTTGCTATCTCTGATAGCGCTGCAATGAATTCCTTGTACATACTTGGGAGTATACCTCAAATAATTCTGAGTAGAACTGCTTTGTCACAGAGTGGCTCTCAGTCGTACCTAACATGGAAATAACATTTATGGACACACGGACCTTTCCCCATTCATGCCCAAACCTACCTTGGAAATACATAGGGGTGGAGTTTCTCCTTTGCCTTCCTGCATACCCCTATACCTGTTATGACCTTCCCCCACAACCTGAACTCTGAAACTTGTCACCTCCTTCTACGTTTACTGGAGTCTCAAGTGGTAGAATGGATACTATACAAAATTCCACACAGGAGGCCGTGATATCATAATTTCACTTCAGTGGGTGATCTGCTCAAGGCAAGGCAAGGCAGGTTCTCACTTAATAGAACTGCAGATCAATTTAGCATTCTTTGCTTTATAAACAAACAAAACAGCACAATTCACATCTTTTTATTATAGCAACCAAGAGTTAGAGTGTATTTATCTTAAGATCTTTCATTATTAAGGATTCAGATCATCAGATTTCAAAGCTTCATGTCTGTAAGATCTGCCCCAACATAGAAAAGTTTCCTTCTTTTGGCTCAATGGTGGTTGCTGCAATGGAATCAAATGTCTTAACTCTCAAGGCTGTCTCATTAACTACAGCACAACTGAAAAAAGAAAACTTACACTGGAAAGCCCTCCTATTCTCAACGGCCATGTTCACTTTGTCAGTCATTTTCACCTCCTGTACCCAAAAATGCCAAGTGGGCAGCATTTCATTTAGGCCTTTTCCTCCCCACCACTATTTCTGGTATTGAAAACCTGACCTCACTTTCTTCACCACCATTTACAGGAAAGGTTAGGCACCTTGCCAGCATCCTGTGCACCTCCCTCTCCAGGTAACCATTATTCTGATTTCTAGTCAACTAATCATCTCGTCGCTCCATCCGCGGATATTTTCCTTAAAATAGCTTGTCCCTTTTTTGAATCAATGAAGATCAATGGAGTTCTAAAGCATGCATCTGTGACTTTTGTTCAGTATTATGTGAAGTATATGCATACTATACTGATACCCACATCACCGAAGCTGTAGTTTTTCACTCCAGTGTCTCTTGTGTGAACAGAGATTGTTGGACACATGGGCATCCAGGATAGGATGTCAACATTGTGGCCCACCAAGCCTTACTGATGCTTGAGGCAAAAGAAACAATCAGTAATACTGCCTTTATTTAAAATCTTGATATTTTGTTGGGTCATGGATGTTTTTCTATATTTTTTATTCCAATGGCTGTTTCACACCTTTATGAAAAAGTCCCTCTCCTCCAACACTGATCTCCAACGCTGTCTCTGAAGAGTCTTCAAATGCCTGTTATTCTATCCCTATTCCTGTAACAGGGTTAACTTTAGCTT